CAGTTCTCTCAACAATCTCTCCCTCTCACTTTCAAAACTCTTTCTTTCAGCTTCAAAACTTTTTCTTTGTTCTTCTAAACAAATGTCTAAGTTTTCAAATTTTCTGATTAGTGGAGGGATATAGGGTTCTTCTTCACCTAAATCTGAGGTTGAATGGGGTTCTTAAGGACTAACACCTTCATCGTGTGAAAAAACAGGTTTGGCTGTTTCATAGCTTTTGTTTAGAGAGTCATAACTGAAAGGAACCTCAGCTTTAGAGGAATTTGATCTCTTTGTCTCTTCTTCTTCAGCGGTTTCTTTTGCTCCGACAAATAGCATCAACTTGGTCAATCCCGAACCCATGTAAATGATATCATAAAGCTGACGGCAATTGATCTTTTTCAGATTACGAGAGTTTGTGATGCCAAGACCTTCTCTAGGATTGTAAAAACGAGTGTCCTTGTTCTGATTTAGAAAAATGGTTTGCTCAGACTACCCTCTTTTGGAAATTAAATCTTCCAATTCTTTAATTTTGTTATAAAGAACGCTGATTTTATCTAATACCATCTCCTTTCTGTCTTTCTCACAATTTCGTTCTGTTTCTGATTCACTCAACTGTCTAGTGAGTTCAACGACTTTCTGTGTAAGCATTTCTGCTTCAGAGTTTCGCTTCTTAAGCATGTCCTTTTAATTGTGATCCAATCTGTCTCTTAACTCCTTAACTGTGTCATCCTTTTTTTGCGAGGAATGAACTTTGCAAGTACAGGAGCAAGAAGGCTTAGAGGCATCCATGGTTGGTTGTTGAATGTTGGCCGTAGACGTGAGTTTGATTGAAGTTTCTGCAATTTCTTGGACCTTGAAATGTAGCTTGGTCCTTGAGAAAAATGAGCTTAACCTTGAGATTTTTTTTTTAAATGTCAAGGTTGACTCTTGGAAGCTTTGATTGAAGTGTTGACCTTTGGTGTTGAAGTTTTGGACTTTGGAGTTTGAAGTGGCTCAAAACTAGCTCTTAAAAAAGAAAGGTGGAAAAGTGTACACTTTCAAACAAAGGTGGAAAGTGAGCTTCTTTAACTTTCCCACCCCTAAACTCCTTGCATTGAGAACTTTGGAGCCTATATATATGAACCACTCCCCACATAATATTAAAAGGTGAGTGAGAAGAGGGGAGCTCTCGCGCACCCCCCTGCGCGGGCGACCTGCGGACACGATAGCCGTAAGATTCAGCGGGTCTCAAAAGATAATTTTGCCCCTCTTTCCTTTCCTTTTTAAAAAAAAAAACTCCTTGGGTTCTCGCACTTTGCCTTCGAGAAGTTCTTTTCGAAGTGTTAGAACCTATCGACAAGTTGCAGTTGCTGTCGAAAACATGTTTATCAAGAACCTGCAGTTTTCGATTCTCCTGCGAGAACCCTTCACTTCAAAAAACTGAACCTGAACTTCGAGAACACCTTTTCGATGTGTCCTCGAGGACCTGCGGTTTGAAAAATTCTTTTCGATGTTTTCTTCGAGAACCTCTGTGTGTCCACAACCTGTATCGAGAAACGAATGTCAAGAAACTCAATTCCAAAAGTCCAAATCATAATGTCGAGATCCTGTAATGTTTTCGAATCGTGATGAACTTGCTGAGCTCGAGAAGCCTGTTTTCGATACAAGATTATCGAGAACTTGAAAATCTGAAACTTTCACAAATGAAAAATGAAGATAATCTGCTAAATCGTTTTGAGATGGCGATTCTAGCAGTATAGCTTTTACACTTGAAAGAGAAGAAACAGATTTACAAGAGCAAAAATGAGAAAACATCGAGAAACATAAAACAAGGCATTTTTCGCAGTTTCTTCGGCAGATGATCTTCATTTGATTTCAAGCTCGGCTCTGATACCAATTGTTTGTCCCTGTATCAACAATCAATCTAACAATATATGATAGAGAAGAGAAGAACAAAGCTTGATTCAATACCAAACAATGATTTCGCATTACAGAATATGGGTATCGAGAACAAACTATCGGCTCTCTCTCTCTCTCTCACTACAATGTTATGCGCTCTGAATTATATGTAAAAGCCCTTCTACACATTCCCTAAAAGGCAGTATTTATATGCCTAGGGAATGTGTGATGTGACCTAAGCATCATGATTGAGCTCTTTTAGTGATTGGGCTCAATAGACACTTTCCACATTTCTTAATAAAACTAGTCTAATAGTAGCTGAAATACATAGACAAAATAGTTACACAAATACAAAAATATTTAAAAGGATTGGACACCAGAAGAAGTCCTAACATTTTGTCTAATGGGCTATAGGAATGCTGATTTTTACATAGTTGTTGGGCTGGGTGTGTCATAATAGGACACAAATAAGATTATTATTATTATTATTAATTATTACTATTATTATAAAATTGAGTTTTTTATATAAATATTATCAAAAGTAATTGGGTTTACAAAAATATGACCATGAGTAGTTAAGCCACATGGAGACCCGTAACTAAACAAGTAATATGACCTGATTGCCCATGACGGTTAAGGCTTATTTTGTGAAAAATTCCATAAAATACGTCACCTAATTGCGGAACAGAAATTGCCCTAAATAGGAGTAAAAACGTTTTGAAATTCCAAAATAGGAGTATCATGTTTTTTATTCCTTGAATAGGAGTAAATTTCTGCCAAGTTTAGTTTTACAAGGCTTTAAAGATGGCAGTTTCTTCCAAACTTGGTAGATTACTCCTATTCAAGAAATAAAAAACATGATACTCCTATTTTGGAATTTCAAAACGTTTTTACTCATATTTAGGGAATTATCACATTGCGGAAATGATGGAGCTCATTAATTAACGAACTATTCATTACTAACCTACAGAAGTTGGATAAGAGTATAAGACTCGTTCCAGACGGAAAACATTAAGCATGATTGTCATGATTTTGGTTTCACTACGTGAATTTGTGCAGTAACGTAGTTACGTAGGCAACCCAATTATGATGTTGATGGTAACTAATAATGAATTTTGTAGTAATGTAAACAGGCTTGGGTATGGTACGTGTTTTTGGGAGTGTTGTAACTACTTTAAGATAAAGAGCATACAGTAATGGAGTTGTAGATCAAAGTACTGAAATTTTAGTAACTACAATAATAAATATTAAGATGTATTTGCTTAATAGTAACTATTGATTTGTAAGGAAGTCTACGTAGTAATGATTTTTTTAAATAATTTCAGTCACGCCTCTATATGACTGTATTTGTGCATAGTAATGTATTTGATGTAATGAATTACAAGTAATTAAAGATAGAGTAGTCACTAGTAATGGACAGTTCATTGTAGCATTGTCTCCAATGCTACAATGTCCACGGTGCACATGTGACATGAGAGATAACCACATAAATATTAGTAAAAAATTCTTTCTCTCCTTATTTGAATGATTTTATACAGTTTTGGTAAGTTTTTCTCCACAATGTCAATGAGACCGTCTGTATGTTGACATTGTAGTTGACATTGCAGGGAAAAACATACCAAAATTGTATAAAATGATTCAAATAAGGAGAGAGATAATTTATTTGCTAATATTTATGTGACTATTTCTTATGCCACATGTGCACTGTGCACATTTTAGCATTGGAGATGCTCTTACAACGAGGAATTAAGACGATAGGATTCTGATGCGAAAATTTAGCCAGAGAGTAAAAAGAAAGAATTCTCGCAGAGAAGAAGACATAGCTTGGCGGTTAGCGGGAGGTCAAATAAAGAATATTTAAATCGGTTTTATATTAATTTAAACATGAGATAATGTTTAGTAATATTTTTGTTAATGACATATCAATTGGTAATATTTATGTAATTTTTTCTATAAAATTTATTATTATCATTATTATTAAATATTATTAAACTGTTATATATAAATACGTATTTACATATTGGTACATTAATTAAGGTTGGCACTCCGATAATGCTTTTAAGGAATATTTTCGATGGGTCTTTCCAAAGGGACAAGGTTAATTGTTACACGACTTGGAAATCACATTTTAGGGGCAAAAATTATGGGCGGAAAATATGTCGGGCATGAAGTTGTAATTCCGAGGTTAAGCTTAACTCCGACGGATTCAAGAATCCCGTTCAAGTTTCATAGAAGACAATTTCCAGTAATGACCTTTTATAAGATGACTATAAGTAAGAGTGGACAATCTTTGTCCAATGTTGGACTTTCATTGAAAATGTCAGTCTTCACGCATGGTTAACTAATGCTCCCGTCTCATGTGGTCGCAAAAGAGAGAAGAGCCATAGCCGCCATCTAGTGTCTTATGTGGTCGCTGGAGAGAAGTCCAGCCACCGAGTACTGCCCTTTGAGGTCGTGAGGGAGAGAAGGCCTGCCTCCAACTAAGGTATGTGGTAACGGGGGCGAGATGAGTCGCCGCCAACAATTGTCCTCTGTGTCACAAGGGAAAGAAGTAAACGAAAGCACGTCTCATGTCCTCGGTGGTTGACACTCGCCAAGGAGAGAACGAAACAGAGCACCGTTAAACGACTCAAACCTCCGTCTATTCAACGTCTTCGAAAGGACTCAAAAGCAAATTTGAAATACTTAAATCAAAGGGAAAATGGAAACTAATAATCCAACCTTTTAGCGGTCTTCTTACAATAGTCCCACCTTTTGATTATTCATTAATAATCTGACCTTTGCACATCATCTTTATTCACTGGTCCCTGACCGGTTGATGACCTGCTATTCCAAGTTATTTTCTTATCTTTTCAAACCATTACACCATAAAACGAAAGCACGTCTCATGTCCTCGGTGGTTGACACTCGCCAGGGAGAGAAGGAAACAGAGCACTGTTAAACGATTCAAACCTCCGTCTATTCGACGTCTTCGGAAGGACTCAAAAGCAAATTTGAAATACTTAAATCAAATGCCCCATCATAATAACACTAATCAGTAGTCCTCCACATGTCAATGTTTTACTTGTCCACATAAGCAGGGTACCATACCTCAGAAATTGTAAAGGTACGATAGAAAATACCCAAAAATGACAATTACGGCCGGATGAAAAAACAAATTAATGATAGCACAATCCAAACGAAGTGTATTGTCATAAGGAATGGTTTATAAGGTTTCACATCGAAAAGATTTGAATAAATAAAGTGCTATATTAATACATGGACTACTCCTCCTAACATGGTTGAGCTTTTAGGATGGAACCTCATGTCTTAACATATTTCCATGTAAAATGTGAAAATTAAAACATAAAAGTAATCCACTCACACACACACAAAAAGTAATCAATCTAATGAAGCAACATTAAAGCCTCTGTTGAGGACTTTGGGAAGGCATGCACGATTTGGCTTATTTTCATGAAGTCATCTCTATCTCGAACATTGAACCACATTTCCATTTTTTGTAAAGCTGGTGTTCTCTCCAAAAGTATTTGGGCCAAAGACTTGATGGGATCACCAATTGAATCTCCCACCACGTTGATTAACTTGATAAACTTCAAATTTATGAAATTGCCATTACACTTCTCCTTTGCTAATTGGGTCCAGTTGTCCTCCAACTGGAATGAAAATAAACGACAAACTTATATTTAGGGTTGGTTTGCAGCTACTTTTAAAAATGCACTTCTCAACTTTTGGCTTTAAAAAGCACTTATTTTACCAAACACTTCAACTTTTATTTTTCTCGATTTTCGTGTCAAAAGTGCTTTTACTTTTTTTATTACACAAAAAAGCACTAATTTTACCAAAATTACCAACTTTTACTTTTCAAAATCACTTTTTCTTAAACACTATCAACTTTTATTTAATCACTTCTCTCCATTTCATTTAAAAAAACATTTTTTTAAAGCAGAAACTGTTGCAAACAGACCCTTAATAATGTGGAGCAAACAAAATTTATCAACTAGTTCACACTTACCACTTGCGGATAATCACAACTTATGATCAAAGTGTCAATGGTTGGAGAAGCATTTAGAATGACTAGAGTACACAGAGGTAAATCTAGATAAGTGTGACGGGTTTGTTTAGCATCCCATGCAACATCCATTCTCAAGCACCTAATGTTCCCTGTTGGAAGCTGCCAACCGTGATCCAAAAGTTTTGATACAACCTAATTTCAACAACAAGTAATTAGCAATGTTCTAAAACTCGGAAGGCGCTAGTCGGGCGGTCAAGCACCGCCTAGCGCCTAGGGCGACTAAGCAGCGATTAATCGCTGACTAGGCGGCCAACTCGGTTTCAACATTAATACCAAAAAATAAAAATATTCTTGACAAAAAATATTACATCAAACAAATTAAGTTTAAAGTTTAAGACTTTAAGCACAATAAACATTTTTCATATTACCTAGTACGAAGTATAATAGTTAATAAGTTAACATTTTTCATATTACCTAGTACAAAGTATAATACTCCCTCCGTCCCTAAATAAACTTGCAACTTTCCTTTTTTGTCCGTCCCAATTAAAACTTCCACTTTCCCTTTTTGGCAAAGAATTTGTGGTTAACAACCATTCTTACACGTTTCTCTCTCCTCTGTACAACTTTCCACCATACAATACCCACTATCTTAAACTGTGTGCCAAACCTATTTGGAAGATAAATTAGGGACGGAGGTAGTAGTTAATAAGTTAGGACTGCTTGGTTTACAATAATTAGGATTTAAGAGGTTTCTATGAAGATTCTTCACTGCTTTGTTCCTTTGATCCTTTAGATGGAGATGTAATTCTCTATGCTACTACATTCTTTATATTACATAGCAGAAAAGGGCAATGAAAGTTCCAATTAAGATAAAACCAACAATGCTTTGTATCACTTTGGTAATAAAAAAAAGGTCTGAGCAAAAAAGTTAAGCAAGGGTCAGATCAATTAATTTCTTAAAAATTAGCCATTTAGCATTAACCAAACAGAGAAGAAACTTTGTACATCATCAATTACAAGCAGTATCATATCCAACTTTCAAAATGCTAATAACTCCTTTTTCCCTGAAGTTCAAATTCAAATAAAGCCATTAAGACAACACAACTAAAAATATCAAGAAGATTCTTGTTTTGCAAAAGAAAAACCATGTTGGTTTGATGTCTAATTTATATTAGGCAAACTTGTCAAAAGGGTTCAAAAGCGTCAAAAAGCGACAAAGCGCAGGCGAGCGATCAACCCTCGCCTGGCTTTTGTGAAGTGGTGCGTAGTGAGAAAGCGACGCTTTCCCAGAGCTTTTCTTGCGCTCGCCTAACGGAAAAGCGGTCGCTTTTTATGGCTTATCACAAAAATCGGTCGATTGACCGGTCAATTTTTTTGTTTAAACAAATACTGGGCTTCTCTTGTCGCTACAAGTTAGGGTTACCCCGTTTAGAATTAGGACTTTGTTCAATTCTTTCCCACTCCAAACAAAGACGTACTCCGGAGTCCAAAGTCTGAAGAAATTGCAACCTTCGATTGAAGAAGCAGGTGATCTCCAGACCTTGTCTCCTGTCCTGCGCCTGAGGTAAGAGGGCTTCTCCTAGAGTTTCTAGCTGGTGCAACACAGTTTCTATTTTATCATCATTTATCACCTTACTCTGTGACGTTAGTTTACTCTGTGACGTTAGTTTACTCTGTGATTTTAGTTGGAGCCCAGACTTCCTCAACTCACTTTAATCTGTTTTTGTCTTACTCTGCTTGTATAATAAGCTTTTTAAAACATCCTATATTTTTTTTGGCAAACTAAAACGTGACAGTATTTTTTTTGGCAAACTAAAACAGCCTATATTATACACTCTTACTCTGTTTCTGTAATAAGCTTCTAAAATAGCCTATACTATATATACTAGTATATAATATGAATGATAGAAATCATTATATTATAATTTTGTTGGTAATTATTATAGTTTTAAAAAGCTAAATTATATACCATCATGAAAGCATAGCTGCATAGATAGGTAATGTCTTTTGTTGAAGAAATAAATCATTTTCTTGGTAGTAACTAGTAATTAATCTTATTATTCTATCAATAATTAATGTAGTAAGTTATTTACAGAAAGATCAATTTGTCTTCACATTAGTTACTCAAATGTATTCGGAGCTAAATTAAATTCCAGTTTATTCCTTTCTGTTTATTTGATTAATTTCTAGTTTATTCCAGTTTATGCCTTTCACTTTATTGATTATTTATTTTTTGTTTATTCCAATTTATGCCTTTCACTTTAATGATTAATTAATTTTTTAATTCATTCCAGTTTATTCGTTTCAGTTTATTGATTAAATAGTTTTTACTTAATTGCAGTTTATTTCTTTCAGTTCATTGATTAACTAATTTTTAGTTTATTCTACTAAGTAATAAGGTCTCCATTGCTCTTTGTACACTTAGTTGATTACTTGATTAAATATTTGTGAAATATGTATATGTAGAACTCTAGACAATCATGTCTGAAGAACAATCTAAAGGTCAGGATCCTGCATGGGAGCACGGGTTAAGGGTCACGCCAAACGATTACACACGTGTGCGATGCATATATTGTGATAAAATCACAAGTGGGGGTATATATCATCACAAACAACATCTTGTCGGTGGCTTTAAATGTGTTAAGGCGGGTCCCAAGTGTCCACAAAAAGTTAGAGTTGCTGTGAAGGAGCTTCTTGATAACAAAAGTAAAAAAAAAAAAACAGAAGATATGAGAGAGAACAGAACCCATGATATTGATGATGATGATGATGATGAGCTGGAGTTAAGAGATGGTACAGGCAAAGCGTCATCAACCAAAGGGCCCATGAATTTGTACTTCAAAACAGTTGCAAAAGAACAGGGAACTTTGAAGAGGGCAAGAGGGGCAGAAGTAACTCTAGCATCGTGCAAGAAAGAGTTAAGGGAAAGGGCTGTTGGTGCATTTTGTCGATGGATGTATGAAGCTGAATTGCCCTTTAACTGTGTTAATTACAAGACGTTACAAAATTTCATTGATGTTGTGGCACAACATGGATCTGGGATGAAAGCTCCTACTTATCATGAAGTTCGAGTGCCATATCTTAAAAAGGAAGTAGAGCATGTGAAGAAGATTTTTAAACCACATGAGGATATTTGCAAGCAGTACGGTTGCTCATTGATGATGCTCATTGATGATGGATAAGTGGACTGATAGAAGGAATCGCGCTTATATTAACGTGTTAGTTAATTGTTCACTTGGATCTTATTTTATCCAATCAATTGAAGTAAGTTTGGACATCGTGAATGGAGGGAAGATGTTTGAGCTCTTTGAACTCTTTGTGAACAGAGTTGGAGGAGAAAATGTTGTTCAAATTATTTCAGACAATGCTTCTGAAAATGTCAAAGCTGGTAAGTTTATTTTGTTTATACTTAAACTCATAATATCTAATATATAATTTAATTGAATTATTTTTTTATTTTTTTATCGTTTAGGCAAGGATTTAATGGAGAAGTACCCGACAATTTATTGGACCCCGTGTGCTGCTCATTGCATCAACTTGATGTTCAAAGACATATTTGAGCTTAAGCATTTTCAGACAACCTACAAAAGAGCTCTAAAGTTGTCGGCCTACATCCATTCGAAAACAAAATTCTGGACTTGTTTAGGAAATTCACCGGGAAGAGAGAGTTGGTGAAGTTTGCTAAGACAAGATTTGCCACAGCTTTCTTGACATTCAAAAGGTTAAAGGAGCACAAGAATAAGTTGATCAAGCTTTTCAATTGTGAGGAGTTCCTAACGAGCAACTATTCCAAAGAAGCGGCTGCAAAGGAGTGTGGCAGAATTGTTCAGATGCCGTCCTTTTGGAACACACTTCATGAGGCACTGAAAGTTGGAGGACCACTTATGTCAACCCTTCGAATGGTGGATGGAGATGTCAAGCCAGCTATGGGATACGTCTATCCTGCAATGGAGTTGACAAAAGCAGCAATAGCCAAAGCCTTTAACAACAACCAATCCAAGTACCAGATAGTGTTTGACATAATAGACACAAGATGGACTTCTCAACTTCGTCAGCCATTGCACAGCCATTGGACACTGCTGCTTTCTTTTTGAATCCAGATTTCTTTCGATTTCCAGATGAGACACAAATATCTTCTACCATAAACTCAGCTGAAGTGGTGAACGGGTTTTATGACTGTTTCGAGAGGCTGGTTCCAAATAAAGATCTTCAAGAAAAAATTGTTAGCAAGGTGTCCATTTGGGAATTAGGACGCGGACTATTTAGCAGTTCATTTGCGAAGAAACAACGAGGCGTTAAACCCAAAGGTTAATATCTATTCATCAATTAATATCATTTAAAAAAATATTACAATATATAGTGGCTTTAATGTTTTAAATTCATTTTATAGATGATTGGTGGACATCTTTCGGTGCTAGTGCTCTCCATTTAAAGGAATTTGCAATTAAGCTTCTCAGCTTAACAACAAGTGCATCAGGATGTGAGAGGAACTATAGTGTATTTGAACATGTAAGAATAGTTATTCTAATGCAAGAGTGTAGGTCAATTTCAATTTTCCATTCATTTGACTAACTGGAAAATTTAAATTACTTGACAGTTGCATTCGAAGAGGAGAAGTCGTCTAGAATACAATCGTCTCAATGATTTGGTATTCGTCAAGTACAATAGGGATTTGAAACGTCGTTGGGAAATGCGTGATTCTATAGATCCTATTTGCTTGGATTATATAGACATGGCAAATGAATGGATGACTGGTACCGCTGATGATGCAAATGAAGAGTTGGTCTTTGATGATGGAGATGGTTTGACCTGGGGAGATGTTGCGAAGTTTTCAGGTGTACATGATACCCCGTATTCTCTTAGACGCAATTCTAAAGGGAAAGATAAAGCGGAAAATTCCAAGTCTAAGGGAAAAGAAAAAGACTCCACCCGTAGACTTGTTGATGAAGATGAGGATGAAGATGGGGAGGATGCGGGAGTCTATGATGATGACAGTGAGGACTTTGACACTTTAGTTATGGATGAAGAAGAACAAGGCCAGTTTGATGACGAGGAGGATGAGATGATGATGATGAGGATTCGAATAACCGTTTTTGATGAAACTATGACATTATATAATGAATGTTTTTATCTTTATGCCGCACTAGTATTACCCTTATGACTTTTATGATTAGTTATGTGTTTTTTTTTGTAATTGTGTGATGAATGTTTTGAAACTTTATGCCGTACTAGTAATATTTTGAATGAATTTTATGACTACTTATATGCATTTTTGGCATAAGTATACATTATATATTATACTTTCTTTGATTTTTTTAAGCATCGCTTTTTGTGAGAAAGCTACACTTCGCTTAGCGCTTTCGCTTTTAAGCAAAGCACGGGGTCATCGCTTTTGCACGCTTTTCGCTTTAAAAAAGTTTGATATTAGGTGGTCATGCATACAATAAACTACAACATGACTATCAAGTATCAATCAAGAAGGTAGTCATCACATATTTTGATCAATGGAAGATAGAGAAATAGACAAACTAATTATTCTCAACTTTTTAAAGAATAACAAAGTAATTGAAATAAATTACTAGTTAAAGTTTGCATTAATTCTTTGAGGAATTTTATCAAACATCATAAATGAGTTCCAAGTTCCTATCAAACTATCTCAATTAAGTATCATATCTCAACAAAAATCAGCAAATATTTTAATAACCTGCAAGGGAAATGTCAACAGAAAACCATTGGGCATATATGCTTAACAACCTTTTTCACAAAATTGAGCTCAAACTGTTGCCCTGAGGCCATTGACCCGTTGCATCAAGTAAATCTAACATGATTTTCCTTTTTTAGTTGACTCGTTTAAACATTCAAAATCAAAATCAGAAGCACTTGGATTAAGACAATGATAATTGCTACACCTTTGAAAAGAAAAACATAAAGAACTATCTTCTTAATAACAAAGTAACTATAATACGAGTACATTGAAAATAGTTTTACCAGGACGGCTGGATACAGAACAGTGGAGCCGCTGGTTCGACTAAGAAGAGAACCTGTCAACTATGGCCGTCGTTCGCCCATTCCATCAAAAAGAACAAAGAAGTGTATACTCTATTAGGTCTACTTCTAAGTGCACTGGGCGAAGAGAAAAAAAAGGTGTACTCTATCAACTGGGAGGTAAAGAGAGTCTGAACCGACTAATCTCTTACCCTAGTCTGAACCGATACGCTAGATCTAGCAAACCGTGTTCCCGTTCCTCGTTCCCGTTTCGAACCGTACCGCGAACCATGTGACTATGATGCAAATAACCTTGTACTCCTATGTCTCACTTTGTTTTACTTCAACTGTGAGTTCTTTAGGTCATAGTATTTGGTAGCTTCAGATAAGATTTTTTATTTTCATGTGAAATAAAACACCATATAAGTGTTGAATCCATTTTGATTGTGGAGAGATTAACAATTCAAAACATCAGGACAATAGAACGGTTCAGCATATAAGTTCATTTCAGTACATTAACCCAAGAACCCACTCAAATGTGTAGCAAACTCAAGTAGCTTTATCTTCTATTATGGTTCTTAAGTAGCTTTATCTTCTACTCAAGTAGCAAACCCAAAAAAAAGAAAGAAATACCTGAATAGAAACATCATGTAAATGCAGCTCTTGAATGTGATGGATCTCTTCAAAGAAGGTCTCCGTATTAAAGAATACAACTTTTGGTATGACTACACCCATGCCGATTAAGTTGTATCCTACGCTCACTAGTGAGGAGCAAGGTTGAAGCTCAATTTTTCTTTCCATATGATACACCAACAGATCCACATATTTTATATGTGGTGCTGAAATGGTCAAGACTGGCTCAAGATCTATTTGATCTTCTGGGTCCCTCAACACTAGATCATGTAGGTTTGTGGAGTTAATGGTCAAATGGGTAAATCCCCAACACTGATGCAATTGCAAAGATGATAATCGTGGGGAGGCCGAGAGTATATTGTCCATGACAAGTTGGGGTATCTGGACTCCTGAAATTTGGAGTTTTATCAAAGAAGGCCATTTAATTTTTCCCTCAGGTGGTTGTATATTACAAAATTCTAAAGATAATGATACTAGAGATGAACTAGTATACATGATCTTTGGAAGTATGTAGGGATGCCTTTCATTCTGAATCCTCAATTTCACAATTTGCACATTGCTCTCACACCCAAAATCTATCCAATGATCAACGTCTGGTGCAGAACAATCATTGAAGTTGATTGTAAGCTTTTCAAGTTTTTTTCCCTTACGAGCACCAATTAGCCTGTTCATCCCGTCAACAAATTCTTTCCTCTTGTTAGGTTGATACCAATCGAGGAATTCAAAATCAAGATTGAGTGATTGAGCCCACAAGAATCTCCATCTGCTCCCCAAAACACTCGTTCTAGCGGCTTCCTTGGTGTCCAATAGAGAGAGTATATCAGCAATCAAATCATCTGATAATTGATCCATCAATTCTGTCCGAGAGCTCCGATTACCAGAGTGAAAAGAGACTGTTTGTGAAGGAGGGACGCACCTATGAAGTGAATCGGACTTACGGGTAGACAGAAGCAGCGATGCCTGCGAATCCTTCGATTACCTGAATCGCAGAATTGATTCCACGAGAGTTTGAGGAGAGAGGGCGGATGCAGTAAGGCTAGAGGGGGCTGCTGCCCCAATAAAGACCCGCTAAACCCTTCTAATTTTTTAGGAAATATTAAAAGCCCAAATATTTGTCCCCAATTAAAAAAAGTGGTAATTACCCGTATGGTCCACTTTTGTGGACCACATATCATTTATGTCTTAGCTCTTTTTTCTTTTCACTTTTAAACTTTTCCCTTTTCAGTTTTGTTTTTTTATTTCACTCTTGGATAGCTTTTGCCGACATCATCCACCGTCCAAATATAAGTCGATGAAGGAGTTTTTCGTTGCCGTGAAATAATTTAGGAGAGTCGACGGAGGCCTGGAGATCGGCGTACTCGATCTAATCATCAGTGGAGCCAAGAGATCGATCTGATAGCCCCAGATCGGGAACAAAGAGCGGATGCCTCCATCTGTCTCCGCTGCAGATTAGAGAGTTGATCTTCTTCTAGTGTCCAGGCGAGATCCTATCCGATGAAGAACGGAATTAACCTAGCCTTCGTCGCATTAGCATCTCTTGAAAAGTCTGGTCTAATTGTCAGGATTTTTCCACCAAATTGAAAAGCCTTAAGTCTGAGGTTCGTACTTTGGGTTAGTTCACAACCTCTCCCGCGTTAATCACTTGTCATGCTTTTTAATCCATATCATTCATTGAGCAATTTTTGTCTTAATTTATTACGGAGTATCTACATATTTATTGAACGTTGCAAGTCAGTTGATGCATGTATGAGAGCAATGGACCTCAGATTTGGAATCACCATGGCTGTTGATGATGCTGTTGTAACAAACTTGAAGAGCAGAACAAAAATGATTAGCACATATGAGGAAATTGCACAGGTATATAACCATTTCGATCGAGTGTTTTGCGTTTAAGGTTTTATAAGAGTTTGTTTGAAACATATAGACATATAGTTGCACTTCCTTGGCATTTTTTTCTGTTCGAATTTTTCTGCACACAATCATACTTTATACGGAGTATTTCTTTGCCCTCAATTGTTTTTATTCTCGTTTCATTCACCTGTTTAAGATTTTTGCAATGATACCAGTTACTCCATCTCATATGTTTATAGGTTGGGACAATCTCTGCAAATGGAGAACGGGAAATTGGGGAGCTCATTGCAAATGCTATGGCCTATGGAAAAGATTGTCAAGGAATGTGTCATCACAATTCAAGTAAGTGGCAGGGGTGTTTATTTTATTTATCGTCATTTTGTTCAAACACAAAAACTCACTCTTCACACAATTGTTTTTTGAAATGAGTCCCCCACCACTATTTAATTTATTATGCTACTACCGTACTACGTATTATGCAAGCTTGTACCAGAAACAAGTTGTAGTTGATATAGTTTGAATGTCAAATGTGTTTTGTACTTCATGGTTCTGGAGTTGAGATTGAACTAACTGTTTTGTTGTCTACTGATGTTGGCTATAGGATAAACACTATCAGTATAGTTATATGAAGTACAATAATAATAGCATAACACAAAATCAACAATGCAGTCATTCACTTAATGTTTTGGGTTGGCCAATAAATGTATCTCCCAGAAAATGTCTTTTGCTTTTTTTGTTTGTAATTGCAATGGTATCTCCGAGAGATTTGTTTAACCCTCCACAATATCTCATGGAAAATATACCTCTGATTCTCATAGCTTTTGATGCATTTTCATACCCTGGTGTTGCCTCATAAATAAGAACATTATTTGCTTACATTTTTTACTCTTTAGGCAATTTTCTATGATGTCCCTTGTATTTTATATATGCCAATGATGGTTGCAAGTTAAAGAACAACAACTATGCACTACATGACATGAAAACATTAGCAAAAGGTTTCTATTCTGATATAGAAAAAGCATTCAACGTTAAATGAAAAGAACCCCCCATTCACGAAACGACTCTGCTACAATGGATGGTAGAGGGTCCGTAGTGCTTTTTCCTTCAACCTTGAACAATTTGTGTGAACAGATTCAGGATGAATTTCCAATGTGCCTCTCGCCTTGAGCTTCCTCCAGACTTGATGATGGGTATAACATGGTTCCAATGACTTGAATGTCAGTTTCATTCCTCGTTTTACTGTATTGATCTAGTGTTTTGTTATATAGTTTTCAATAAGATACATTTCTGCTGCTATATAGTTTTACTATATAGTTTTCTATTGATCTAGTGTTTTGTTATTTGTGGCAGTTTTCAAGATGGAGAAAAAAAATAAGGAATTGTGTGTTGAAATCCACAAGTGGAAGAAGAATGTGAAGAAGCAAAATTAAATGATATAACACATAGTAGATATATGTAATAAATTGAGTTAACAAGTTGAATTATACACTTTTTGCATATCATATATGCAATACGATATATGTTGTTTTTTGTTTCTTATTGTTGTATCATGTGTATTACTTTTTGTTGCATCATGTTTCTTTTTGTGGTAACTTGTTGCATTTTGTTGCATCGTGTTTCTTATTGTGTCAGTGATCGTTGTTTCTATTGATTTAGATTTTTTCTTTTTTATGTTTGTATTACCTTTGCGACCTCCGTCTATATAGAATATAAGCATACACCTAAAATGATAAATTTAGATTTATATAAGTAAACAACAACTTGAAACATAAAGAAACAATAAAAAACAAAAATTTTATTAAGTAGAAACAAAAAGAAACACATTAAAACAATTGGCAACAAAAATAATAATAAAATAATAATTAAATAGTTTAAGTGCTTTAAGAAATATAACATTACAAAATTTGTATTTTTTTTATTTTTTAAATTTTTAAATTTTTTACAATTTCATTATTATAGTTTTCATATTTTTATACTCTGAGTTTATTTTAATTTTAAAGACTTTTAGGTTACATTAATTTTCTGATTTTTTATAATTTTATGTAATATATTTTAATTTTTTCCACTGTAATAAATTTAATTTAACTTTTCGAATGATCTCAAATTTTAATATTTATTTGATTTTTTTTATTTAATACGTATATTTTCAAATTTTTTAAAATAATTACATTTTTTTGAACAAAAATAATTATCTTTTCTAAAAGATTCCTATTACTTTTCATATTACTTAATTTATCTTATTTTACACTTTATTTAATGATTTTAAGAATATCAATTTTATTTTAACTACTTTATACATAGTAATTTTTTATAAAAATTTTGATTTTTATATTTCATAAATAAATTATATTATCTTATTTAAAAACACTACATTAAAAAATATTTCTCAATTTTTATTATTTTAGGATTTCTACATTTGTTTTTATTTTTCTAGTTTTTTTGTAATATTTAAAACCATTTTCTTTAATTTTTAAATTTAATTTACAATTTTCCTATTTTGTAACATCAATTTAATTATTTTGGAATTTTTTGTTTTACTTTTAGTTTTTTATTTTTTTAAAAATCAATTTCCCTTTTATTATTTTATATTTTTCTAAGCATTATCAACTATATGAGTTAATGATTTTTATATTTTCAATTTAGAAGTAAAAACTAAAAAGTTGTGTGTCTAGATACGTGAATGAGTGCATGTGTGAAAAGGGGGCAGTAATTTACGTAAATGGATGCATGTGTCCGGACTCAGGAGAAGAAATCGGAGTGGGTGGGCTTCATACGCGGAATGATCTATTTTGGAAAAGGAACTTTGAAGTAATCTATATTTGAAAGAAACTTCTAAAAGTGACAAAAGTGATATTAGTTTCTCTTTTTAGTCTATTTGTGAAAAAATCCCTTAAAAAAATGGCTTGCCCCCAATAACCCAAGATCTTCCAGCCCGCCCCAGTGATGAAAAGAATAGGGAAAATATCACTAAATCACTAATCTTAACCTATTTTAATAAAGGACAGATTTCTTATTAAATGCTCTATTGTCCGTTAAATCATCATAGGTTAGGCATTATCCTAATGTACTTTGTGCCATTCATGAGGTACGCTAACTATTATGCATCAAAGGAATCGTTAGGTAGTTGACGGTGTGTAGTCTGTCAGGTTAAATCTTAACGAATCGTTAGGTTAATATAGGCCTCTTCTTTTCATCGAAATACATATGTGAAGCCAAAGGGACATGGATTTCCAACCTCCGTTCCAGAAGTTTGAGCATCGGA